CCATCCATCCATCGATTCATCATCCATTCATCCGTCATCCATCCATCCACCAATCCATCATCCACCCATCCATCCATCCATCAACCATCATCCATCCATCCATCCATGCATCCACCCATCCATCCATCCATCCATCATCCATCCACCCATCCACCCATCCACCATCCATCCATCATCCATCCATCCATCCATCCATCATCCATCCATCCACCCATCCATCCATCCATCATCCATCCATCATCCATCCATCCATCCATCATCCTTTCATCCATCCATCCACCCATCCATCCATCATCCATCCATCATCCATCCTTCCATCGATTCATCATCCATTCATCCGTCATCCATCCATCCACCAATCCATCATCCACCCATCCATCCATCCATCCATCATCCATCCATCATCCACCATCCATCCATCCATCATCCATTCATCCATCCACCCATCCATCCCTCATCCATTCATCCATCATCCATCCATCCACCAATCCATCATCCACCCATCCATCATCCATCCATCCATCATTCATTCATCCATCATCCATCCATCCATCAACCATCATCCATCCATCCATCCATCATCCATCCATCCATCATCCATCCATCCATCCATGCATCCACCCATCCATCCATCATCCATCCATCCACCAATCCACCCATCCACCATCCATCCATCCATCATCCATCCATCCATCATCCATTCATCCATCATCCATCCATCCACCCATCCATCCATCATCCATCCATCATCCATCCATCCATCGATTCATCATCCATTCATCCGTCATCCATCCATCCACCATCCATCATCCACCCATCCATCCATCCATCATCCATTATCCACCCATCCATCCATCATCCATCTATCCATCCATCCATCATTCATCCATCCATCCATCCATCCATCCATCCATCCATCCATCATCCATCCATCCATCCATCTATCCATCCATCATCCATCATCCATCCATCCATCCATCTATCCATCCATCATCCATCATCCATCCATCCATCATCCATCCACCCATCCACCATCCATCCATCACCCATCCATCACCCATCCATCCATCCATCCGTCATCCATCCATCCATCCATCATCCATCCATCCATCCATCCATCCATCCATCATCCATCCATCCATCCATCCACCCATCCATCCATCATCCATCCATCATCCATTCATCCATCCATCCACCCATCCATCCATCATCCATCCATCCATCGATTCATCATCCATTCATCCGTCATCCATCCATCCACCAATCCATCATCCACCCATCCATCCATCCATCAACCATCATCCATCCATCCATCCATGCATCCACCCATCCATCCATCCATCATCCATCCATCCATCCATCCATCATCCATCCATCATCCATCCACCCATCCACCATCCATCCATCATCCATCCATCCATCATCCATTCATCCATTCATCCATCCACCCATCCATCCATCCATCATCCATTCATCCGTCATCCATCCATCCACCAATTCATCATCCACCCATCCATCATCCATCCATCCATCCATCCATCCATCCATCCATCCATCCATCCATCATTCATTCATCCATCATCCATCCATCCATCAACCATCATACATCCATCATCCATCCATCCATCCATCCATCATCCATCCATCCATCATCCATCCATCCATCCATCCATCCATCCACCAATCAATCATCCACCCATCCATCCATCATCCATCCATCCACCAATCCATCATCCATCAGCCATCCATCCATCCATCCATCATCCATCCATCCACCAATCCATCATCCATACATCCATCATCCATCCATCCATCATCGATCCATCCATCATCCATACATCCATCATCCATCCATCATCCATCCATCCATCCATCATCCATACATCCATCATCCATCCATCCATCATCGATCCATCCATCACCCATCCATCCATCATCCATCCATCCATCATCCATCATAAATCCATCATCCATCCATCCATCCATCCATCATCCATCCATCCACCAATCCATCATCCATCCATCCATCCATCCATCCATCCATCCACCAATCCATCATCCACCCATCCATCACCCATCCATCCATCATCCATCCATCACCCATCCATCCATCATCCATCCATCCACCAATCCATCATCCATCCATCCATCCATCCATCCATCCACCAATCCATCATCCACCCATCCATCACCCATCCATCCATCATCCATCCATCACCCATCCATCCATCATCCATCCATACATCATCCATCCATCCATCATCCATCCATCCACCAATCCATCATCCACCCATCCATCATATATCCATCCATCACCCATCCATCCATCCATCCATCATCCATCCATCCACCCATCCATCCATCCATCATCCATCACCCACCCATCACCCATCCATCACCCATCCATCCATCCATCCATCCATCCGTCATCCATCCATCCACCCATCCATCATCCATCCACCCATCCATCATCCATCAATCCACCCATCCATCATCCATCACCCATCCATCATCCATCCATCCACCCATCCATCCATCCACCCATCCATCCATCCATCATCCATCCATCATCCATCCATCCACCCATCCATCCATCCATCCATCCATCCATCCATCCATCCATCCACCTTTTAGATGATCTGATGAACCGACACTAAACCAGAGGAAAGTGAAACCTGGACTTCTCTCTGGGGCTGACTGTAACTTCATTTCTGCCTGTAAGGATAATTATCATAGATGATGTTTGAGTTTATTACACCTTAATATTAGCTGCCAGTTATGTGTCAGAACAAATGTTTTCCCAGTGGTTTATCTAATTATGACAGTTCCTCTGTCCTGCCATATACAGTTATCAGCTTCATTCTAAACGTGGCAAAGATTTAGGAATGAAATGAGAGCGGCGTCCTTCAGCTAAGAACGAAGGATTATATTTTGATAAGGCTGGAGCCATGGATGTCTCCTCATCTGCAAACGCCTGTGATGAATGTTGATGTGATGATGTAATGATGTGATGACGTGATGATGTAATGATATGATGATGTGATGATGTGGCATACTGAAGTATAAAATGCTTTGCTACCTGTTAATCGGGGCAACTTCCCAATAACTGAGCCCAGTTGGTATGCAGCTCCCTTCTGTAAACTCTAAGCAACTTCTCTGATCTGAGTAAGATTATAATTTCTATCAGAATCTGTTGTCATGTCTCCTGGTTATTTAATACACATTCACAATGAAGTGTTACTTAAGGAGTTATTCCTGGGTGATCTCTTTACAGGAAAAAGAACTGGAGAGAGAAAGCTATAAGTTTTAGACACACACAGCTTTCCACTAACATGACCAAACATGGAAGGAACAGGAAGCTTAGTGAATCTCACAGAGAGTTAGTAGCAATTTCAGGCCACAAGATGGTGCTGTTTGATAGAGTATCATTCATTCTCCAGCACGAGAATGCAGTGGATAGAATTTTAATGCAATGCTATATATTTGTGTTTGTAAACACAGAATCACAAATGACGTATGCTTCTGTTGTGGTCAGAGACTGATAGTGTTATAAACCATTAAATAAGGTATCCTCTTTTTATTTATGAAAATATTACAATAATTTTTAGGGAAAATTTCAGTGAGATTTCATTTTATTCAAACTACAGAAATGCTTTTTTACTATTAGGATCTATACATTTCTTATTTCAAATAAGATTGTAGACAGTAACAGAAAAGAAACACAGAAAATTGTATAACAGGGAGAAGCTTTAACAATAATGTATTTACTACAAAAACATGTAATGATAAATTAAATATATCAATTTTTTTACAGAATTTATATGCGTTTACAGATTAGATTAGATGAGCTTTATTGATCTCACAGCTGAGAACTGGTCACATATTGGCATAATAATTAAAGAAGGTGCAAACAAGGAGGAAAAAGGTGCATTAATAATAAACAATATATATACAGTATATCAAGATAAATAAGGATTAAGGTGCAAGTGTACATGTATCACACACAATGAAAAACAAAATAAAAATAGGAAATAAAAAAATAAAAAATACAAGGGAGTAACTTATGAGGTGTCATATGTACAATAACATCAACATCATTGTTTGCTCTCTTATAAACAAATGACAAAAATAAACAGAATATATTATACAAAACTGGAAAACCAATAATGAACATTTTATTTTAAAACAGAAACTCCTGTTTGTTAAAAAAAAAGATACATATTTGTATACTTTTACGTATAAAAAATGTGTAAAAATATACAATCCTCCGCCTCTAAGATGATTGAAATGCCAAAAAAGTGTTCATAAATCAGCTGTATGTGGGAAAGAAGCAAAGATTAAATGCTGTAACTGAACATTCTGCTGCATATCAAGGGTGTGAAGTGAGCAAAAGATCTCAAGACATCAGAAAAGTGAAATTAGAGTTCGGAATGAGTTCTGCTGAAGCTGCAAAAAATATCTCATCCAAGTCAGAAAGACTCAAGCCAACAGTTCAGCAAATGACAAGTTTAAAAGCTTTGGAGGACTCTCCTAAAATTGCAAAAGACTCATTGGCTGTAAGAAATTAAGGATTTTCTACTTTTTCTGGTAGAATTGATCAATTATAGTGCTCAGATATGGAAGCCCATTTCCGCCACTCTGTTAAAATAAAATAAAATAAATGATCGAATTATAATGAGGTTAAACGGTTAAAAGTATGATGGGAAAACCAGTCAGACCATCAGAAACTGGCAGAGTGACAATAACCTAATGATACATTAGAAATCATGAGGACGAATTTGATGATGTATTTATTATGTGGGGTTTAATTAAATTGTTTATAATTTTATTTTTGATTTATTAATTAATTTGTTGTTTTTTATGGGGGGGTGAGTTTTTATTTATTTATCCTGGTTTAACTCCTCATCAGTTGGTGGCGGTAACGCGCACTAACTAATTTGCCAACCGCCATAAAACACAATAAGAAGAAGTTTCATCCTCCCCACCAGTAGGTGGCGGTATCCGTCATTAGGCCGGTCCGGTTCTGTTCATCTGCATGTGTAGAAGCAGCAGCAGCAGCATGTCTGTGTTTATGGACCTAAACTTGTTATTTTGTGCTGACAGGAAACGTCTGCAGAGCCTGGTGGAAACAGCCGCTAACCGTGAGTCCGTCTGAAATCAATCCGCTCAGAGAGTCACTTTAAAAGCTTTAATTTGATCCAATAAAGTGACTCCAGACACAGATGGAGCTGAAGTGAATCTGCAGACATGAGATCCTTAGAAGCGCTGTGTTTAGGAGAGCAGATAATTATTACGTTTAAACTCATCTTATATTTATATTTGTTTTTATTTTGAAGTCATAAAAGCTTTAGTCAAATTTACGACGGCCTATTAGGGCCGTTCAAAGACAAAGATAATAATGGGAAACTAAGATTTCAAGTTTAAAGCAGCATATTTACGAGATTATAAAGATGCAAATTTAGAAGGAAACAAATTTACCAAATAAACTGACAAATTTTCATTAAAAAGTATCAAATTTAATTCAATTCAATTCAGCTTAAAATAAAATGTCCCATTAAATTACCAAAAATAAATTTAAAATGATGAATTAAGTTATTGAATGTCACTCTCAAGTTATTTATTTATTTAAAATGAAAAATGATTCACTGTATATGTATAAATAAAAACAGAATGAAGTACTAGTGTATATTTTTAGGTGGTCTCCACTCACTTGGATGATTATTTCTGGGTCCCAGGCTGAAATGTTTGGATGGTGCAGCCTCTAACCAATCATCCTCCTCCATGATGTTTCTAATAGGACGTCTGTAACGCTGCAGAACTGTGTGATGATGAAGGGCTGACAATGTTGAATTCATTCATCAACAAACTTTGTAAACTATTATAATGAAAAGAAAACTAAAAAAGACCTGATAAAATGTTAAATAGGCCAATAATTCAGACCAGAGTAGGAAGGTGGATTTAAACTAACAACCTTCCCAGTTATGCCCGGTTGGTTTTTTATTTTTATGAAATGAAGTAACTCAATATAACTGTCAGTTGGATCATTTTATCTGCTTTAATGACGCCATGTTTGCTCCTCATTCAGTTGGATTCTCCACCGTCGCCATCAACTATGTGTTTGAACCCAAAGCCAAGAAGAAACAGGTGAGTTACTGATGGGGGCGGGGGGGCTGTTACCCCCACAGGTCACCGTCCCGCTGTGCTCCAGACCGCTTACACAAAGCAAAGCCTACAGCCTCCGCTGTTCCTCCCGTCCTGCTCGGCTCCCTACGCTGCGACTTCCCTGGAGTTTGGGGAAAGCGTGCGCCATATTAGTATTAAATTCTTCGGAACTGTCTGGAACAGTTCTCATTGATTGACATTGGTGCGTACGTGATTTAAGCCTCTGTTTGTTTCCCATCTGCAGGAAGTCCCCTCCCCGGTACCAATCAGTGAGCTGATAGGTCAGCTCCCCGTGGTGCAGGGTCGCTCTCGTCCAATCAGAGTGCTGAACAGGCTGACGGTGGTGATGTCAGAGGCTAATCACTTTGTGAGTATCTCATTGGAGATTTTTGATCAGAGTATCGGATCAGAGGGGTTTTAATCGGATCTTTCTGTGTCTCCTAGAGGCCCAACGCCTCAGAGTATCGGCCCTTTGACCTCCTGGCCGTCCAGCCCACCACAGAGAAACTCTTCCATGTGAGTTCCTGCACGACGTTTTCAGGACTTCTGTGTTATGGATAAAATGTTCCACAACTTGATGCTGTTATGCAACTTTAATAGATTTATTGCCAAACACCAGTAGAGGCGGTAAATAGTTTATTTATTCCAATAATATCCAGATGGTCATATATTGTTTATGGACACACGCCCCCTACTGGCTAAGTGTTAGAACAATAAAGGAAAGTGAATCACAAATATGGAATAAATTCACCACAACTTCCATTCAAAATATCAGTTTATTAACAAAAATCTTTCAGTTTTCACGTTTCATTTAAAAACTGTTGACTAAAACTAGTGAAACTCAACTAAACTAAACTACTATGTATGCAGAAGAAGGGAAAACGACCAAAATCAATGAGACATGCAATGATGTCACAGTTTAGCTGGATTTAATTTTCCAAAACCAAAGTTTCTCTTTGGGGTATGATTAAATTAGCTTTTCACTAATTTAGAGCGATTTGAACTTATTCACAATGAAATCCATGAAGGAAAAAAAACATTATTTGGCAAAATAATTTTTGTTTTTCTAATGATTTGTTTAATCAGGAACCAATAATGTTTAGATAACAGATTCTTTACCTTCTTTGATTGATCTAGCAGCTAACAAACATGAGGATTCCCATTAAAGCTACAGTGTGTAATTTTTAGCGACATCTAACGTCCAGACTGCAGACCGCAGCAACATGAACATCTCCCCCCCACCGCTTCTCCCCCCCAACAGTACGGCGAGCGTTACGGGACAAAATGTCTTCCACGACGTCCGCATCACCTACCTTCTCAAGTGATGAGGTTTGTTTACATAGATAATTTTAATACTGCCATCTGTTGTTCAGTACCGTCTCAGTTCATCTCTCTCAACTTGCCGTAGTTACTTTCGAGCGTAATGGGCGATCTCGCAATCGCTAGTTTGTTGGCTCTGCGCTGGCGTAGCGCATAGATGTCTGCCTCCATGGCTGCGAGACCCGCTCCTATGTAATTATAAATAACGAATTCTAAGGCAACTCAAATATTAAGGTTAAGAGGCTGAGCTCGTAGATGATGATAAATAACATAGTTATGTATAATATATTACATTTCTGACTGTATATACCTGTAATTATTACACACTGTAGCTTTAAATGAGTTGTGATCATATTTGGTCATCAAAATATAATGACTTATGCTAGTTTCCATGCAAAGTCAATGGTTGACGCGCATCAAGGTGCACCAAAACATGCTGCAGCGCGTTTTGAGCAACAGGCGCAGCACGTCGGAGCAGCTGAAGCAATGTGTCGGGAGCGTTTAAGCATCTGACGTGCACGGCAAATTTGGGGTGAAGTCTTTTTTATTTTTGTTTGCTATCTAAAAGGATGTTTTGTTAATTGAAATAAAAAAAAAAATGAACATTTTAAAAATGTTTTTAATGAAAAAAAAATTTAAGAGGAGCTTTACTGTTTCCTCAGATGTAACTTTTTAATTCAATTTTTCTATTTTTTTTTACATTTTCGTAGATTATTGTTTTCAAATTTATTTTCTATTACATTTCTATCTAAAAATAAATTTTTTTAGATTGTTTTTCAAATTTTGAAAATATAATTTATTATAATTATATAACTTATTTTCATTAAGACAGTTTTCAACTTTTAAAAATTTCATTGCATTTTTTTTTTATATTATCTTTAAAGGTACACTATGCAACCGGTGTTGATTTTCCAGCGAGGCTCCCCCCAGAGGGCGAAAGTAAAAGTGCACTGTCGTAAATATGCTCAGCTGTTCTCCTGGTTTCTCCGTCAAGCCAGGCGCGGTTGTTTTGAGCTTAGCAGACAGGCGAACGCAACGAATGACTAATGCTGCGTTCACACCGCAGCTGGCGCGACAGAAGCAGCGAGTTTACATGCAAAGTCAATGGTTGACGCGCGTCAAGGCGCAGCAAAAGGTCCCGCGGCGCGTTTTGAGCAGCTGAAGCAGCGCGTCGGGCGCGTTTAATCATCTGACGCAGGGAGAGAGACACAGCGCTGATGATCAGAGGCTATGATCACTCCTCTTAAACAGTTTATTGATGCCTAAATTAACTTAAAATGCAGAAATCTGCCGGCAGAATATGCAGTTTGGATTATTTAGATCAAAAACACCTACCAGCTGCCGCGGTGAACCGCGAGGACGTGACCTGGCCAGAGGCTGCTGATGAATGGATCCCTACTGTCGGCGCACCGCTGGTATGTGGGGGTCTGAGCGGCTCCGACAGAAAAATTATTGAAGGCAGGATAATAATCTGGATGAACTGACTGCACTGATTACGTTTTCAGGTGTATTTTCTCACTTAAACACATATTAAAACTACTTTATTCTCACTGATCACAGCAAATATAGCTGCAAGGCAGATAGTGAAGCTCCGCCCAACGCGCGTCAGACACACTTTTGCACCGCGCAGCCAGAGCAGCAAAGCTGCTTCAGCCGCGTGTCAGAACTAACTGGTACAAGCAGTAAAAATGAAGCAGCAGACGCGATTTTGCTGCGTCCGATGTGAAAGCAGCATAACTGCACAAAGATCGCCACTGTGCTAGCAACGAGAATGCTTAACTGGGGGCGGTGTAGCAGTTCTCGGCCGTAAAGCAAGACTGACTCTCACGAGACTTCTGAGCCTGTGGGTGCGGGTCGGTGCTCCTGCAATTGCAAGTGCGGTATTTCCCCCACAGACCACCAGGGCGGCCGAGAATACCTTTGTTCAACCTGAAATGACTCATTTAATCATCCAAAACGTTATGGAACACATTAATTAACTGAAAAATGTTGCATAGTGTGCCTTTAACAAAATGTGTTCTGTATTGCAATAATATTGGAGCAAAGTTTATTCCATACGTGGGATGTAATTTATAAAACTTAATCTAAAAATCAGAAATAATAATAATAATAATAAAAAAAAAAAAGATTTAAAGAATAAAAATTTGAGAAAAGAGCAAAGTTACTCTGAGGATTGCATTTTTTCCCCAAATTTCTATTTATAAAATCTGTTCTTGGCTTGAAACAATAATGGAACATAATTGACTCCGTATTGTGCCTGATATCTGGTCATCTTTCTGCTCAGGCGGCCTGCTTGCTGTGTGACGTCGACATCGTCTGCATCTCTGTGACGGAGAAACTTCCCTTCATCTTCAAACGAGCGCCAGTCAACGGGGTGAGTGTCCTATCCGCCATCTACTCCCCTCTTTCTGACTCTCTCCTTCATGTACGTGTCTTTGTGTGCAGGCCATTGACAGAGGCGTGGTGTTTGAGGTGTCCTACGCCGCGGCCATCAGAGACTCCACCATGAGGCGCTACACCATAGCCAACGCCGTCAGCCTGATGGAGAGCTGCAAAGGAAAGGTTGGTGTCCGCGTTTGCTGCCAGCTGCTTCCTGTCTCTTTACTGACGTGAAACATTGAACGTTGTTCCTTTTTCAGAACGTCATCATCTCCAGCGCAGCTGAGAAGGTCAGATGAATCCTTTTTTCTGGTCAGACTTCAAACTTTGGGCTACTGTAGCTCTCTAACTTTGTATTTCTATCTTTTCTAAAGGCTTTTGAAATCAGAGGACCTTATGACCTCACCAACCTGTATCCTCCAATCACTGAACACCGACCTCTGATAGGCCCCTCCCATCTAAACTTACATATTTACTTAATTACTTCACTATTTAATTATTTTATTTAGCATTTTTAGAATTAATATCTCAGGTTAAAAATAAAAAGTATGTGTATTTATTTAATTGGTTATTCATGTATTAAGTGATAATATTTTGGATCTGAACACCCCAGGATTCACATCTGCTAGTGCACTGCTTCAAACTAAATATTTAGTTTATTAAATAAATATTAAGCTCCAAAATAAATATTTAGCTAGGACCAAGCTAGCTTAACATTTAGGTAGCTTGATGCTACCTAAATGTTTAGCGAATATGCAAATTCACCTACCGAAAAGCGGAATTGAACTACCAAAGTAAAAGCCTGGGCATCTGTAGAAAACTCCTACATCTTTGTGAGACTGACAGAAAATCACATTAGTATACGAAAAAAACGGAATGAAGTCCAAAATGGAATCTTAGAACTAGTTTTGTTTGACCGTATACATTTGTTTCAAGAAATGGGCAAATGTTTAATGTTAACCTGCGTCACACGCATATGGGGCATCACTGTGTTGCCATAGCAATGACTGCTTTCCTTACAGCTTCAATCAAGGCGCCTTCTACTGCTGCGAGTGAGACTTCACTGGGAGAGACACTCAATAGTTCAGGGTTAGTGCTTAGAGGGTGTTTTTGGAAATTAGTCAACGACAAAGTGACTAAAGATAAATCAGTCTTTCGTCTTGAGCTGTAGGAGTCGTATAAAGATTCCCAGGCTTTTACTTTGGTAGTTCACTTCCACTTTTCGGCAAGTAAATTTGCATATTTTTGCTAAATATTTAGCTAGCACCAATCTTGCTAAATATTTAGCTAGCACCAATCTTGCTAAATATTTAGCTAGCACCAATCTTGCTAAATATTTAGCTAGCACCAATCTTGCTAAATATTTAGCTAGCACCAATCTTGATAAATATTTAGCTAGCACCAATTTTGATAAATATTTTGCTAGCTTAATGCTAGCTAAACGGTTAGTTTTTTAAATATTTAGTTTTGAGCTAAATATTTATTTAACAAACTAAATATTTAATTTGTAAACTAAATTTTTATTTTACAAAGTAAGATTTTTATAAATGAATAAAAAAAAAGTAATTTTCTCTTAAAACATGCTAAATAACCATAAATATTGCTCCTAATTTTTGACTGTTTAACTTTGCAAACGGCGCCCCCTATCTGCCATCGTATCAATATATATGAGCTGATACCAACATGAAGAAAGCCTCTCACGTCGGCCATCGCTCAGCCTCTTCACTCGGTTTGTTTTCCTGACCAGTCTCTCAGAGGGTCGCTGTTCGGCCTGTCATTGGCTGATTCTAAGGAGGCCGTCTCTTCCACATGCAGAGCCGTTTTACTCCACGCAGGTAAATCATGATGACGTTTCCAGACTGTTAGCTCCGTTTATCGTTTATTTGGATTCTTTCTTTAAATCACCTTTTTTTGTTTCATCTTGTCTCTTTGTGTCCAGAAACCAGGAAGACGGCCAGTGGCATCATTTACACCATGAAGAAGCAGCAGCAGGAGGAGGAGCAGGATGCTGCAGGCTGTAGGTTATCAGTCATGTCTGATCTGTAGAACCTCAGATGTTCCTTTAGCTCAGCGGTCGGCAACCCAAACTTTTCAAAGAGCCATATTAGACCCAAAAAAAACGCAATCTGTCTGGAGCCGCAGAAATCTAAGGCTACGTTCACACTGCAGTACGGAAGAGGATTAGGGCCACTGGAAAAAAAAAAAGTTAACTGATTTTTTTTATTTTATTTCAGTATAGCATGGGAAAAAAGTCAGAATTCTAACTTTTTTCCCATGTTAAACTGAAATAAAATTTAAAAATCAGTTTACTTTTTTTTTTTTTTTCAGTGGCCCTAATCCTCTTCCGTACTGCAGGCATTAATGCTCAATTCCGATTTTCTTTTGTGAAGTCCGATTTTTTTTTTGCGTTGGCATTTACATTTCCAAATATATGCAACTTGTATGTGATCTCCTGCGTGAACTGCAGTCATACAACGCAAGTGCTCAGCATGCGCAGTAGAGGAAGCAATGACATCACAGGCCAGCATGCTCTGTGTTTATGGAAGTAAACATGGATGGTAGCGCTGGAGCGCATCTATCTAGCACATCGATCTTTCCCAACTATAAAAACAATCTTTTTAAGATGGTTAAACATAAATGCTGCTCCCCGCATCATCGTCCGCCATGGGTGTTGTTTTTCTTGCTGCTTCTTCATAGCAAGATACAGAATAGTGAGCTTTGTTGGGTATTAATGGCGTCCAGGTCGGATTCATCTGAAAAGATCAGATTTGTATCGGATTCAGGACCTCATAGCCAAGTGGCCTGGATTGGGAAAAAACCGTATCTGAGTCGTTCAGACTGCCATGAAAAGATCCGATCCAGGTCGCATATGGGCCAAAAAATCGGATTTGGGTCACTGCAGGCTGCTGTGTGAACGTAACCTAAAAGTCTGCTATTAGCCTTGTATGGTAACACGGGCTCCAAGTGTATTAGCCCACTATAAAAAAGGACTACATGGGCTTAAATATATCATAAGAATTCCCGCTTAAATGTTTATCCTGGGGCAAAAGTCACATCATGTGACTCTGATGGACCCTATTTGGTGCTTTCAGTTTGAATTCCATTACAATATAAATGTATTAGATTTGGTTGCATTGATGAAATTATAGAAACTTAATAAAGAAATAAGATTTTTGCTGTTATTTTTATTATGAGGATTTGGGGGAAAAAATTTAATAATTTCCATCCCTGCATCAGAGCGCTACCTGTTGGATCTATGAACAGTTTTCTATGTTTGCAACCAAACCAGCAGCAGGTAGTAAAGTTTGGAGATGCAATCTACTTCTTAAATCTGTCTTTGCTCTCCTTTAATTTATCCAGAGGTTCTGCAATCAAACTAATTCTCTCCATCCCAGCTTGATGGTGGGCTGCAGATTTAGCCTTCCCTGGAAATGCCTTTTAATAATTTTCTCCATTCTTCTCTGAATCCTCTTTTCTCATCAGCCATTTTCCTTTTTTCCCTTTGGGTTTCATGGCCTGAGACACACCCGCCGCTTTGTTTACAGGAGCCACCTGCCTGGCACCGCGCCGCTGCAACGCGATACAGCGCTATGAAGCTAATCTTGCATGGCGAAAATGTTTACATTTATTGCTTACATTTATTTATTATACTCATTTTTAAAGCATTGGAAACGTAATGAATGTTTGTTTGACCTTCTCTATACCAAAAAAACAAAAATCCATCTTTTTCCAATTTCATGCATTAAAAAAAAAAGCTCCGTGGGGGCGCTAAAGAGCCACATACCACTCTATAGCCACTGGTTCCCGACCTGTCTTTTAGGGGGTAAAAAGTAGATGTAGTTCTAAAGGTTCTGCTATTTTTGTATTCTTGCAGCTGATTTATTTTTTTACACGTTCTGGGCTGAACGTTTTCACGACAGCAGGAGTTCTGCACCTGCTTGAAACTGGGATCCATCCTGTGCAGGAAAAAAATCCCTTTAGGCTTTTTGTACATTGAAGAAAATGTCTAATTGATTTCTGTTTGCAGAAATAGATAAAAAAAAATAGATATATTTAAAGATAAAGTTTTTTTTTTATTTTCCTTCCCAGATTTCAGAAACAGAAATTTACTGATGCTCTTTGCAATTTGGTCTTCCCTACAACTGGCCTTTAAATGAAGAAGATTGGATCTTTTGCCGAATGAGTCATGTGACCCAGGCGCCACTTAAAGGGGAAATTTATTTTCAATGTAGAAACACAATCGAAAACAGTATGAACGCACAACCCCCCCCCCCCACGCCGCCCCCCACTCACTATTACTCAGTGGATAAATAATATTGATTCTCTTCACATTTTTTTGTGGATTAAAAAAGTTTGAATAATGTGAAATATTTAGTAAAAACTATTTTTTTATTTATTTTTTGTTTATTAAATAGAAAATCAATTTTTCTGCGGTGTTGCTGAATGAATGTATTGAACTGATTAGGTTCTGAATGACCTGTTGAATCAAACAGAATCCCAACATTTAATCCTAAACCAGTGAATCAAGAAAAGAGAATCCTTTCCTAAATCCTTTGATTATCTTTAGTTTTTAATCTAAAATAAGCCAGATCATCGCATCCTTTCATCTCAGCCACCTGCCAGAAATCTCTAACAGGAAAAAACAAAAACTGGTGAACAGATGAGAAAAAGCAGAGCGAGCAGAACGTTAGAGATTGAACTAACAGATTCTGCAGGGTAGGAGAATAGAGTGAGAATGAAGAAAAAGGGATCCCTATGTCCTCCAGCAGTCTAAGCCTATAGCAGAGCCCAGAGCTAAACATGTCTGCCAATGTGTGGCGCTGTTGCTGAGCTGTATTTATTGTGTTCCCTGTTTTTATTTTTTATTTTTTGGCAGGTGACGCTCCTGCAGCCAAACGACCTAAACAGACCTGATCGAGGAGGCGGGCCCACCTCTGTATTCTTCTGTATTATTTGTCTCGTCTTTTTTTGAAGCAGATTCTACTCATTAAAACAAGTTTATATTTCTTTGATAGATAAAGTTTAAAAGAAAACATTTTCAGTTGATTCATTTCAAGAAAATGTATTTTTGTTTTTGAATAGAAACTGAAGTACTTATGGTCAGATATGTAATCTTGCTGTAAGAAGATGGTTTGACCTTTATATTCATATTGGACCTAAATGTTCTGTGTCCTGCTCTTTAGTCTTTGTAAGTCAACTGAAGATGTGTATTTGAGCAATTATTGCATTTTTTTATGAAGAAATACATTTGCCTTCACTACGATGCCGTCCATTTCCTGACATCACCATATCACGCCACCTTGGCAATCAAGTTACACTTTAGGAGGGCTGAACAAAGACTTTGAGACAATTTTTCTAAACTTGGTAAAATGATGATCAGGCATATTAACAACACGTCAGATTTGTTACCTTTGTTTTTTTATCTAAGGAAAACTAGCTGATTGCATCCAGTCATGGACTTTGCAGGATTCTCTCCTCCTGAATTAACAGGTAGAGACAGTAGATACCGACTTCCATTGTAGCCTTGACTCCTTCTGCCTAACTCTGTTATAGGAGTTCTCTAAACTCCTTCTGCCTAACTCTGTTAGGCAGAAGGAGTGCTGCCATCAACACTCAGGTGTTGATGGCAGCAGCACAGCTGATATGCAGAACGTCAGAGGTTCTGCAAAGTTGGAAAATAGAGATAGAATGATGAAAAGGGGTCCCTATGTCCTCCAGCAGTCAAAGCCTATAGCAGCATAACTATAGAGATAGCTCAGGATAACCTGAGCCACCCTAACTATAAGCTTTATCAAACATTTTTTTAGGTACGAAAAGTAGGACATGTCTGGGAAAAGAGGACATCTGGTCACCCTACCATATCAACAATTTGATGTTTCAGTGAGTGAGTGCTTGTTGCTGTGATGTGTCTATGCTCAGCAGCTTCGCTCGTTGTAAACCAACCAATCAGCGCACAGCTCATCTTAATATTCATGATCATACCATAAAAGGAAGAAAACCTCTCGTTTCATTTTAGGCCTTTTAACCAGGCTGCATTAGGGCTCATAAAACAGCAAATAGGACATTTTCATCCCAACCAATGTTACACACCCTATTCAGAGACCTTCAGGACCAGCATCAGATACCCTATATGATCATTCTATCACACCTTTAAAGATGGGAAAAAAACAGCTGCCAGTGAAACAGTAAAAAATTCAATGAAAATCATGCCATTAATTTTGAATTGTGGTGAAAAATTAATAATAAACAAACAAACAAAACAAAAAAACTGAAAAACCAGCACGATGTAGCTCCTAAACTAAAATGTTGATGGAATCACGGCAATCAGGTGGTTTTTTAAATGTTCTAAACCTCTGATCCTAGAATGGCCCCTGCCTCACATTAATACATTATAAAAAAAGAAAAATAAATACATTCTCTTTTAAAATGTTTCATTCAGTTTGATTTTAGTTTTGTAAACTCAAAATGCAGTTTCAGCTATGTTATTTTTGCAAGGTCCAGCTTTTATCTTTATTTCAGTTTTTTTTTTTATTCTAGTTTTCTTTCATTTCTTTTAGGTAACGATAATAACCTTACTCTTTAGCTTTACTTAGAATTTTTTTGGGTTATTCAGGATCTGATTTGAAAACTAAAGCTTCACTCATGTAACACAAATGTTCTTTGGTTTCGTAAGAGAGGCACCATCCTTTATTGTTCCAATGTGTTGAAATGTATTATTTATTCAAATTGTAACGATCTTGGTTCTGTTGATTTTCTCTACATTTTCAGTTTCGCCTTTTTTTTCTTGTTTTCTAGCTTTATTGGTGTGTTCTGGATTTATTTAAATTTCTTAGGTTTTTCTTTGGCTCTGTTCGACAACCTAGGACGTGTCCTACAAGGACGCGGTCTACCTAGACTGGATCCTTCGAAGTCCTTGAAAATAAGGAGACCGGAAGAGTTTAGGCTGTGAATTCGACCAGGTCTACCCTTCGGCGGGTTTCACCGCCGTATGCTCTGTTGCTTAGCAACTGTAAACGTTGACACACAAAGCAGGAAAAGAATGAATACAGAAGTTTTCAAAACTGTTTATTTATTTCTTTTTTATTATGAAGTGAACAAAGACTACACTCACAAGAATCCAGAGTGGAATAAAGGTTCCAACCACCGGGAGCAGGAACAAATCAAATCAAATGTAATGATAGAAACCTTAGTCAGTTAAATAACCTGCTGCTGTCATTCTGCACATCTCTGAGGTTGCTGCTATTTTTAAATATCCATTAATGTAAAAATGTCCATAGCTGCATATTGGTTATTTATTCTCCAGTTTTATATCGTTAAAACACTTTACAGTTTTGTATTGTTTATATTTTAACTCTTCACTATTATGTTATTCTTATACATTTTCCTAAGGTCCTCATTTGTGTGACCATTTTCAGTAATCTTTCTGCTGCTGTAAATTTTTCCATTGTGGGACAATAAAGGGATTTTCTATTCTATTCTAAAAAAATCTAAACAATGTATTTATAAAAAATATATCTGCAAAATCTCTAATATTCAACAACAAAAAATACGTAGTTAAGCATATTGTGCAAAACAGCAATAAAAAGATAAAAATCCTATCAGATTTATAGTCCCCACCCTGTAGATATATTAGAATCTGTCCTTTAATTACAGCCAAACCCATTTACACAGTAACAGATAAAAACCTTTAGATAAATCAAACATTACCGCCACATATCTGACTCAATAATCATTAAAACAACTATTTTTCATTAATCTCAGACGGAACTATTAAATGACTTGTATTTTATTAAACTGAACTTCCAATTTTCACCACTGGTCGGCGCCAAGTAACCTTTACTCTGATCACAGCTTGCTTGGTCTCGCAATTATTCCTGGGATATCCAAGAATACCGAGGATACATCAGACCCGTCCTTCAAATCGGGCAAAAAGAAGGACGCATTTTAAGGCCGCATAACGAGGATCTTGGCGCCGCGCTATGACGTAATCAGCCTTCGAATCCGGTCTTCTAAGGATGCGTCCTAGGTTTTCGAACAGAGCCTTTGCTTGTCCTCTGTTGCTCTCTCGTGTTTTCTTTTCCCTTGGCTTCCTCTTCAGCTCTAATTAAACCTGCTCCTTATCAGCTCGTTAGTCCTGCCTTTGTTCAGTCAGCCATAAATACACTCCCTGTGCAATCCCTCAGTGCTGGTTCCTCGTCTTACTTTGTCTCACCCTGGCACCTTGTGATAGTATTCCCCTGATGTCTCCGTGGTTCTGGTTAGTGTTTTATTTTTATGTTGGATTTTTTTATTTCTGTTTGTGCTACCTGTGTTATCCCATTAAATCATCAAAGAACTCACCTCTGCCTGTCAGCATCTGCATTTGGGTCCTCACAAAAACCTCCAAACAAACTGTGACACAAATAAGGGAAAAGATTTAAACTGAAAGAAACCCTGGGTTTTGGGTTCACTCACTTATGTGACTGATGATTTATAATTTACCAGTTTGAGTGACTGCCACTTGAAAAATCCCCCTCAGCAGCATTTAGTAGTGTGTAATGGGTTAGCTTGGTGATCCTAACCACCACCATTACCTTTAGCTGGCCAAAGTAATGAATGAGTTAATGATTGTGATTCAGTTCATTTTGCTCACATAAATGTTTATTTGAAGGAACCGTATTAGTTATGCTGCTATGGGCTTATTGTGTTGGAAGACATCCTTACTACTTTTCCTTTCTGAATATATCTAACGATTCTGGTAAAAAATTTCAAAGGATATGTAATTATGTAATGTATGATTATCTATCCCATGGGTGGGCAAACTTTTTGACTTGCGGGCCAGAATGGGTTCTAAAATTTGACAGAAGGGCTGGGCCAGGAGCATTTGGACAAGCAATGTAATTAATTAAACCTGGGGATTTGAAATGTATAAAAAAAACAGACAATTTTCACGACCATAAGGCGCACCGTACTAAAAGGCGCAGTCTCAGTTATGTGTGCCATTACTGTATTTAACACACACATAAGGCGCACCGGACTATAGGGCGCGTTTTTTATATACAGGTACATGTCCTCTACTACCTTTAAATAGCTCTACTGCATATTTAAATATACAGCGGGAGCAAAACTGAGTATGACTGTGCTTTATTCATGTATTTATTACAAAGTATTAATCAAACCTGGCAGCTGGCCGTGAGACAGACACATCGCAGATGACACAGCGCTGTGATCACTCCTAAATTAACTTAAAATCCTGAAACCTGCCGACGGAATATGTTCGCTTTTATTACCGGTATCCTGGTGCCTGCAGTTTAAATTATTTAGATGAAAAACACCTGCCAGCCACCGCGTGAACCCGGAGGCTGCCCAGCCCAGAGGCTGCTGTTGAAGGGATTCCTACTGTCGGCGTACCGCTGGTATGTGGGGGTCTGAGCGCCTCCGACAGAAATAGTATAGGCAGGATGATAATCTGGATGAACTGACTGCAATGATTAAGTTTTCAGATGGACTTTCTCACTTAAAAACATATTAAAACTACTTTATTCCCACTGATCACAGCAAATATAGCTGCAAGATTTAGACTATTTAGATGAAAAAACACCTGCCAGCCGCCGCGGTGAAGAGGAGGAGACCCGCCCAGAGGCTGCTGTTGAATTAAGTTTTCAGGTAGAAAAATAGAGCGGGAGCAAAACTGAGTATGATTGTGCTTTATTCAAGTATTTATTACAAAGTATTAATCAACCCCATCAAAGTCATCAACCTCTGTTTCTGAATTAAACAGCTGCGCTAAATCAGAAATGCCAGTTTCCCCTTCTTCGCTGTCAGTCACTTTCCGTGCAGCGCGGCTCCTCAGAAATAATGCCGGCTTTTGCGAAAGCTGGAACAACAGAGCCAGCAGACACGTTTGTCCAAGCCAGGGGCGTGCATACATAGACACTAGGTGGTGCTAAAGCACTAGGAAGTTTGCCCTTTATCAAAGAAAATGCCCTTTTGAAACTCGTTTTTTTATTATTATTATTATTAATAAGATTTTACTGAGGTCGGTTTTG